GTCCATAATGAGCTGAGATTATCCTCGTACTAACAAATTCTCATATTGGACCCACTTGGTGGATTTAAATGTTGTCATGTTTACCGACACAGACATGCTCTGTTCCAAAGCTGAACTTTTAGCCGTTTGGTGGTGTTTTTGACAGGAACTCTTGAAAAGGAATGTCTGCCCTCCGGTAGACCTCAGTAAACAATGGCATCTGGGCAGTGGATTAAGAGCCAGATTTCTTCCTCCTCTCTGGTCTCCTCCCCTGGGTGTCGCCCAGGATGCTTTAGTTTATAGACATTTGTAAGTAGAAATATTGCTGTTCTAACATTTCACCCTCTGCTTGTGCCTGTACTTGTTATGTCATTTCCTGATCCATACACACATGATACACTCAAAAAGCAATGTATTAGACATTACTCATTACTTTAATTTATAGTAATGCAGTAGGTTATTTAATTACTTACTTGAAAAAGTAATTTGTTACACTACTCAACGCATTGCTTTGATTTTACTTACGATTTTAAACTTTAGGGATGTAAAAACATTTACTGGTATAAATGGATGCTACAGATACAGCTCCTTTGAAATGACAGACTCACGCTGCCCTCCTATCATACTGACTTTATTTTCTCTGTGTAGACAGTGTGTACATATTAAGGGTGTAAAACTATTGCAGTGTGAACTCGTGCTTTTAGATATAGAAACTGTAGTAAGAGAGAGCGAGACAGGAATGATTTCAGCTGGATTTTTATTCTTATTTCCACATATAAGGAGACATATTTGGACTTACATGTGTGCAAACATTGTGAGTTATGAAGTTTAACATATGTAGATACTTACACCCTCTGAGTGACGATTACAGTAATGCAGATGTTCAAACCCAAACAAACTAACTTTGTCTCACTGAGAAAACAAACTGAAAACCTGCAGATGAAGAAATTGACCTACAGGCAGAACTGCAGTAGCACTTTCAGTAAATCTGTGACATTTTGCAAACATCTGTACATTTTGTTCACAATGTTCTCGGGAACATTAATGAAATAACAGCATATACCTGTTTCACATTTTCACTGCCTAACATCTACTCCTACTAGCAGTGAGTGAGAGATCAAATGAGTATTATTTAGTATGATGGATTAATACTGAGCCAGCTGAATTTAGCTTTCTGGTGTGTCCCTTCATAACAGTCCCAGGTTCTCGTGTTGCCTACCCTGGTTCAGAATGATTATTACTAACACAGGCATGGTGCTAAGAATAAAACAGGCCCGTGTGCATGTTCAAACATTTTGTATACACCTTTGTTTTTGTGCAGAATAAGAAAGTTGAATGAATAAATTCATCCAATTCTGTTGTTTGAGGAGGCAGACGTTTTCTCCAAGCTAATCTAGAAGTACATTTCTATATTGAGTAATACACAAACCATTTTTTAAATTCCACCTCATGAGGATATTTTTTTTCCAATGCATTGGGCAGGAAGGAATATGATGCATTTGCTTCCATGTGTGGGCTGCAGCAAACAAAATCATGTGGAAAGGTCTTTACGTATCCTCTGCCAGAACCTCTGCACAGGCATACGGGACCACATAGCATGCATGTAGTTCTCAGTGGAAATGCCTGTGCATATGCTTGACTCTGCGTGCCTCACATCCTTTCTTCTGTGTAGTGTGCTCCATGGACAGTTTTGTATTGTATGAGTTGTAAGTTCGGGCTTTTAGTCATTTTGAAGATGTTTAAGCCTCTTTGTGTCCAAAAGTTTGATCTGGATTGATGGAAAAGATCTCGCTACCACTTTGTGGTTGGGAGGAAGATTGAATCATCATTTTTATTAATAACGTATACATTTGTTGTAACTATTACCCAAGTAGGTATTTCTAAGTTGAATTGACTGGGGTTAAATCCAGCTGAGCACAGGCTGTGCACAGAAAACCTGCTGGATAGAAATGACTGTGAGTTGTGACTCTTTCCCCACACTGAGATACCATAATAAGACACTTTGTAAGCCATATAGGACAACTTTCTGTGGTAAAAACAAACTTTTACGCTTCGTATTTCAATTATACGAACTTTAGATTATAATCGTATCACAGTTAGTCGACTAAAACTCAAGCTTAAAGAATTTAGATGCCTGAAGTAGTCAGATGTAAAAGTATTTGGACAAACACACTTTTGTAATTTTAAATCAAAAGTGTTGCAATAACACACATACACAGACACGCACAGCTTGGTCTTCATGCAGATCTCACACCTCGTGCTCCTCTGTCCCATATCTGTGGCATTTACGTATTATTTGGCTGCAGCACTTGCTTCAGTATTTGCTAGAGCAGGTCACCTACTAACTTGAAGGCTGGTGGTTTGATCCCAGTCTGCATGCCTGGATTGCTGGTGTGAATGGGTGAATGTGCAAGTTGTGTAAAGCACTTTGAGAAAAGCACTATATAAGAACCAGTCCATTTACTTGGAGAGTTCAGGTTTCAAAAACCAGTTTCAGGCTTTATTGTTAGTTTTCATGAAGGTTTTTGTTTTTATTTTTTGTAATTCATATTTACAGAGCTTGTGTGCGATACTGTGATCTTAGTTGGTGTGAGGGAGAATTGTGTTTTAGCCATATTACAGTCCTAATGATTTCACACAGCAGAACAGTCATTCTCTCTGTTTTTGTAAATATTATATTTAGTATTTTTCCTTTATTGGATAGAGACAGCAAAGAGGAGAGAGAAAGAGGGAGACGTGCAGTAAAGGTCATCTTTAGTAGTTACGTATGTATGGAAACAATAGCAGTGTGTTTAAAATAATAATCATAAAATAAATAAGGAAACTTCATGGGAAGAAGATACATTATTGGCTGAAAATCCTTTTTACACAGTTTATTTTAAATGGCAACTATTTTGAGTAAAGACTATAACAAATATAGAATAAATATTAAACAAGGACAAAAGCGATGATAATCATACCTTAGTTTTATATTTGGTTACAACCTGATTTTTTTATTCAATCGGGAAGAACATAATAATCTCAAAGCAGCTATAAATCTGTGCCTGAGCTGAAGTAGGCACTTTGCCCTTCTCCAGCTGAGGACCATGGCCTCAGACTCTTGTCTTCACACTAGGGTGGGGTCTGCTGCAGTGTGGGTTGGAGGCCCCCACCCGATGAAGCCAACAGAACCACATCATCTGCAGATAAGAGGAGATTCTGTGCAGTTAACTTTCTTTTTCTGAATGAAGTTGATATGCTACAGCAGCGGTCCCCAACCCCCGGGCCTCGGACCGGTACCGGTCCGTGAGTCGTTTGGTACCGGGCCGCGAGAGTTGAGGCTCAGGTGTGAAATGTATGGTTTTCAGGGTTTTTATCGGTTTTCAGCGTTATTTTGTTATCGTTTTTATCGTTAACTCGGTTTTCCTGGGTCTTTTCACGTGTGTTATGAATAAATCTTCTTTTTTTCGGTACCGGTACTAGTTTTATTTTGTTGTATTTATCCGCGACACCTTAAAGGCCGGTCCGTGAAAATATTGTCGGGCATAAACCGGTCCGTGGCGCAAAAAAGGTTGGAGACCGCTGAGATACAGTGTATTTTATTCCAACTGCTATTGAAGTGAACAGTGTGGCTCTGTGGAGGACTCTGGTTCCTGTGTGGATGCGAAGCTCAAACTGGGCCACCGCTTAACAGCCAGCCATCAGCCCTTCCCAGTCCCTCCAGTTATTACATCACCTGCCATTGTTTGCAAAATCTGTGTGTGTGTGTGAACAAGAGTTTATTTGTTCTGAGGTCATTAGGCCAAACTGTGGATGCAGCTTTAGAAATACTGAGAGGACGTATAACATCAAATGTACACATTCAAAGAGAGAAACAGTTACTGTCCAGTAAACCTAAAGGACACTTCATCATCATCATCATCATCATTTCAGGACAGCCACATAAATCACAGAAATGAAATGATTTGAATAATATGCCGTGGCCTTCATGTACGTCAGATCTCATCTGAACTGAGCACCTGCCCAAACACACTGCACTAACTCATGTAATCCCAACTCTTTCAGGCAAAAGTATTTTTGGACAAGATACTGAAACATAAATTGTTCTCCTAGCAACTGCCAAACCCAGACTCATACGTCAGATGGGAAAGGGTGATCGGTCACTCTGTTATTCTCGAAAGCACAGTGGCCACGCGCTTTATTCCACTGAACCTGATGCGTTGATGGGCTTAGCGATGTAAGGGTTGGATGCAACTGGAAACCAGTTCCAAGCAAAAGTTCCGAAGCACACTTAAATACTCACATCAGTGCATAGTGGCGTCTGCTTCATCTCAACCAACCAGTTTAATGTATTTGCATAGCATGAAGGTTAGTGCAACAAAGTCACTCTGAGATTGGAAATGACGTGTCAGAAGACATCATCGTCTCATGTGGATCCAGTTGAATCTATTGTACTAATATAGACCGCTGTCAACCACTTTCATGTAATCCAACAAATAGTAGAGCTTCCCTTTGTTCACATTCAGGACTCTTTGTCAAAGTAGGTCAGTTTTGGTTTTTTGAGTTTGTTCTCTTTGCTTTTGCGTTTGGTTGTTTTAACAGTCCAAGTGCTTCTTTAACTTGCTTGGTACCATCGTAGCATTAAGCAAATTGTTCTGACAAAGACCTCACTGGGGCTAGGTGCTGTTGGCATCCCAGTTCAAGCTATCAGGCAGGTAACTCTCACAAGTGCTGTCAGTTTATCTTCTTAGGTTGGTGGTTTGTGTAATCATCTGTTCTCCCTGTTATTAAGCTGCTCAGTGTCATTCGAGGGCTTTAATATATCACACTCTCATAAATCCTGACATCCAGTAACTATGCTGACTAACTTGGCTCAACTGGCATTACCCCAGTACAGTTGGAAAAATAATGCCATCAAATCCCTGGATTTGCCTCCAGCCACAGCAGTGTGACTTGACATCATGTGAGAGCCGTAGCTCTGGGTAAACCAAACACTGATGACGATGCTCTAACTGACTCTAACTTGATGCTTCTGTCTGCAGATCCCTCCTGTTGCCACCATGCTGCCGAATTCTCACCTTGCAGAGAAGCTTGTGGCCAGGTATGAACATACACATTCACAAACACATAGATGCTTGTTTCATGGCTGTGTCCATTTATGTATTTGCCCTCAGAGAGCCTCCAATGAGAGGTTTTCAACGAAGTAAATGTGCTACCTGCAGTCCTCCAAAACCCCAACAGCATGTAGCTCAGCTGGGCGTAGGTCAAATGCTGATTGGCTTACGAATGGCCCAGACCAGGTAAAGGATTATCATGCCCCTCCCAGACAGCACCAGTTGGACCACACACTTTGGACACTGCCTCCATTTGGCAAGAGATGCTCTCTGCAGGTAGACGGGCTTTCATTTGCTCCCTAAGGTCATCTAACGCACTACCAGTGGAACACCATGTTGATCGCACAACAAGCCTTACTCACATCAAATCAGATTGTCTTTGAAGCTCAAAATATCAACTTCAGTCTCAACTTTTTTTAACTGACAGAAGGTGACGCTCGCTCTCCATCCTCATGTCAGTGAAAGAGGACTAAAGGAAATGTGAGAGAGGCTTTTGCATCAGAGCAAAAAGCAGCTGAGTGTTACAGTTTTATTGCTGCACTTTAAGGAGGTGCTGGGGAAATTGTGGGTGAGGGGTGAGAAGGGGGTGATGGTTTCAAGAGAGATGCCGAGTAGACCTTACTGTGATCTTATTTACCAGCAAGTGAAAGTTGAAAACCAGTAAAGAAAAAGCTCAGAAAATGCTGAAATAAAGTGCTGAAAGATGCAGAAAAAGGGGAAGTAGTCTTTGGAAGGGTTAGTATTAGTTTTTGTTTTTAAGTAAAACTTTTTTACATTCAAAGATTTCAGAAAATATAAATTTAACTATTGACTTTCAGTCACAGTATCTCCAAAAAACCAAGCACTGCTCTGACAGAGACGCTCTGCTGACATCACCTAGTGGTGAGCCTCGTCCCACCCAGACTGGTTTGAGGCAGAACAAACCATGTACCAGCTTTAATTCAATTTTATTTATACAGCACCAAAACACAACAACAGTCTCCTCAATGTGCTTTGTATTTTAAGGTCAACCCTACAATAATACATACAGAGCAAAACCCAACAATCATATGACCCCCTATGAGCAAGCACTTTGGTGACAGTGGGAAGGAAAAACTCCCTTTTAACAGGAAGAAACCTCCAGCAGAACCAGGCTCAGGGAGGGGCGGGGCCATCTGCTGTGATTGGTTGGGGTGAGAGAAGGAAGACAGGATAAAGACATGCTGTGGAAGAGAGACAGAGGTTAATAACAGATATGATTCAATGCAGAGAGGTCTGTTAACACATAGTGAGTGAAGAAGAAACACCCAGTGCATCATGGGAATCCCCGGCAGCCTACACCTATTGCAGCATAACTAAGGGAGGATTCAGGGTCACCTGGTCCAGCTGATCCAGATTTACGGTGTAGATTGTGTTATATAAAGTCATGATTTTTGCTTTTTCCTGCAGCTCACCACTATAAAGAGTGAGTCGCGTCTGAAGCATCTCCTGCAGAGGTTACCTGGTTACTGTCCAGAGTCTATGGTGAGTCCATTTCACATACAGCAGCTACATGTACACTAACCAACAAGATGGTTTCTATTGGAAGCCTTGTCTCATGATTGTATTGTGTTGTGTCATAAGGTTTGAATATATAACACTTAGAAAATGTTGTGAATAAAAATGTTTATTAGCCTCACAGAGTAACTCGTATATATTTTGGCTCTAATATGCACAATTTCTGCAGAAGACTCATATCAGCATCTCTGCAATATAACTGACACGTGGACATGAGTTTGTGTGGATGCATGTTGGAGTGTGAGGGCAGGGTTCGCTCAGCTTCTTCAGTTCTAAGGTCAAATGGTGGAGAGTCCCAGATATAAACCTAGTGGGAGTTTCCCCCCACAGAGGGACAAAAGGACCCCCTGATGATCCTCTAATCCCCTGAGCCAAGGTGTGAAACTGGGTGTGGGTCCCAATCAGCCAGAGTTTCGGGTGAGTTCATTGTGAAACCGGCCCACCTATCATGCGAATTCACCTGGGTCAGAGGCCACAGGACATGTTTGCCTTTCCTGGACTGCGCTGTGCACATTGAAGAGAACGGCAACCTCAACATCGAAGTTTACCGGAAGCCCACACACACGGACCAGTACCTCCTCTTTGACTCCCATCACCCTCTGGAACACAAACTTGGAGTAATTAGGACCCTACACCACCGGGCAGAACATGTTCCCTCTAAGCCTGAAGGAAAAAAGAAGGAACACACACATGTAAAGGAAGCACTCAAAACGTGCGGCTATCCTAAATGGGCGTTCTTAAAGTCAGCAAAGAGGCACAGAAAAGAAGACCAGACACCAGCGAGGGAGGATAAGAAGGACAGACGCAACAACATTGTCATCCCCTATGTAGCCGGTGTATCAGAGAAACTCAGGAGAGTTTTCTCCAAGCATGACATCCCAGTGTATTTCAGACCCAGCAACACGCTCAGACAGAAACTGGTTCACCCGAAAGACAAAACGCCAAAACACAAACTTAACAATGTGGTGTATGCTGTACAGTGCAGCGAGGAATGCCCAGACCTCTACATTGGAGAGACCAAACAGCCACTTCACAAGCGCATGGCACAACACAGAAGAGCCACCTCCACAGGACAAGACTCAGCAGTCCATCTGCATCTTAAGGATAAAGGTCACTCTTTCGAGGATGCCAATGTTCACATTTTGGACAGAGAGGACAGATGGTTTGAAAGAGGAGTGAAAGAAGCCATCTATGTCCACTGTGAGCGACCATCTTTGAACAGAGGCGGGGTTTACGACACCAACTCTCTGCCATCTATAATCCAGTTTTGAGATCCCTTCCCAGACGCCTTAACGCCCACTCACATCCTGGGCCATCTGACCTCAGGAATTCGCATGATAAGGTGGGGCCAGGTTTCACAATGAACACACCCGAAACTCTGGCTGATTGGGACCCACACCCAGTTTCACACCTTGGCTCAGGCGATTAGAGGATCATCAGGGGGTCCTTTTGTCCCTCTGTGGGGGGAAACTCCCACTAGGTTTATATCTGGGACTCTCCACCATTTGACCTTAGAACTGAAGAAGCTTCTCGGATGAGAGGTGAAACGTCTTCAAGTAACTTAAAGAAGTCCAGACGCTTTTCTTTGCAAGCTCCTTTGACAAGGAGCTGTTGTTAATTACAGTAAGAAAAACAAACAACTAGTACACATGTACGTTAAATTTAGGCCTACGCAGGTCATTATAATGCAAACAGGCTCCAGTAACAACAGGCTCTGATGTAGACTGTCCCCATGTGCCCATGTTCTCTAGCATTCTTGTATTTCGACAACTTGCGAAGGAATAAAACTTTGAGGACTAAAACAAACCATGAACTACTCACTGGCAAAGGTTTATTTTTATGCTCTGCAACCGACGCTGTTGCTACAAAAGTTTCTTCTGCTGGATCTGTTTGCTAAAAACAAAATGGATTTGCAGACTTTGTGAGGGAGTCCGTACTCCTGAGCTGTAAACAGCTGGGAGGGCTGGTGGGCGGGGCAGCGTGGACAGCCAGGTTAATGCGACTCAAGAACAAGATGATGAAGGACTTTGAAACTCATACCATAGATGCATCTGTGAAAAATAGTAGTATTTCAGTATCGTCACCATATGTGTGGGGATTTCACTGACATGTTGTGACACTGGGAGGCAGGTTCAGTTTGATGGTGTTTCACATGTAGGTTTCAGCTAACGCCCAACGCTGTCCTCATCATCTCATACACATGTTAACCTACCCTTATCCTTGTGTTGCTGTGTGAATCCTCTGGATCGTTACATAGTTACTCATTAAAATAACTCTGTTAGGTGATTGCTGGGCTCAAACAAACAGCTTGACCAGCTGGCATTCTCGCCGTCCCTCTGACCACTGAGTCTAGAGCTGTCCTCTGCCCTGTCAGTTAATAAACTGTGGAAATCTCTGAGTGCAGAATAGATTATGGAGATTATGATCTTTGATGTTGTTCTAGTAACCTTACTGTCCTTAGCTTTGCTTCTTTTTTCTTTTGCACAACTAAATTAGATTATTCACCGTCTCATGTATGCTTTCACACCATCCCAAAGGATACCAGGGGACAGGTGATGTGTGGTAGAGTTCCTGTCATTCTGCACTGATGCCTTTGATAATGCCAGAGCTGCAGGAGCTACTGCTGGTATCTGTGTAGGTCAGATTGATTGGTGAAGAAACAGATCAGAGTACGATCAAAAAAAGTGTCCTTGGGGACGTTTGTCTGTATATTGTCCATGTGTCTGTCAGACCAGGCTCCTCTAGGTGCTTATCTGAGACATTTCTAAGGTGGGTTGTCTGTGCGTGTGTGTGCATCCAGGTGAGATCCACTCCAGTGTGAGTCATGTGACAAAACGATGACTGCGTATGTCCAGAAGAGAAACATGGATACTTTCAGTGGACCTGTTTTCATATTCAGTCTCCTTTCTAAGTCTTTGTGACTGTTGACTGTTGTATAATGAACTTCCCTGTGTGCTAGTACTGATACCTGAGGAGTGAAACACTTTGTGCTTTCCAAAGACCTGAAACTCTCTCTGGGTCTGTGGTTGATTAACAAGCTGTGATGGATGATTGCTGCTGTTCCTCTCTGTGAAACAGAGCTTCAGTGTAAAAACAGATCACAGTGGCTGCTGGGTGGGAGGAGGCAGCGTTCCCTTGTAGTGACAAATGTATTTGCTGTACAATTTAAAATAAAATGAAAAAATAAAAAAAGGCTGCTGCTGTTCATGGAAACGTTATCAAAAAGGAGAAAAGTGGACACAGAGTGTCGAGTAGTTCAAGAAGAGCAGAGCAGCTCCTGTTTATCCACCTGTGTGTTTGGTGTGTTCACGTTTCAGTGCTCAAGGAATAAAATATTCATCAGCACTGTGAGACGATCCTGGTGAACAGTACAAGAACGGGTAAGCACAGCTGACTACAGAGAAGATAAATGAGGGGCTGGTAGGTTTGAGGAAACAACAGTCTCTTTTTACTCAGCAGTGAAAGCTGGTTACCTTATGGAAGTGAAAGAACCCGAGTTTTCAAAGCCAAACTTTGAGCCCGGTGAGTTTGAAGAAGTGCTTTCTGAAAGCTGTGAAGAGAACACAGCTGACATGTCAACAAGTGTACGTCTTACTGTCCTGTAACAGCTCGACAACATGTGTCTGCGTCCCTCAGCTGTAGGACGCAGAGGACGCAGAGGGCTCTGGTTCCAGTGGGAGTTTCCTCACATTCATATTTTCAACACTCGTCTGTTTCAGTTTGAAATGAAGAATGTAGAGTCTGTTCTTTGTAAAACTGAACTGGCTCAGTTTATTCTGTTATTTTGTAAAGTCATGGGATTTCTGCATAACTAATATAGTGCAGCAGATAACTGCTGTGTGAGCACCGGCTCACTGAAACTGTTGATCCAACATCCAGTGAAGGAGCCGTGCACAGTGTGCTGCATCACGGGTCACACCTGGGCTTGCTGCACATCTGGAGTCGAGTAGACATGTGGTCAGCAGAGCAGCCAATCAGAGCTGCTGATCTGTACGTTTGCTTTGCAGCTGTCTCTGAAAATAAATCATTGGTTAATTGTTTCTTTGAAACATTAACACAATCACAAAACTTTATTAATCCCTGAGGAAATGATGTGGGCTACAGCAACAGACTCAGGTAGTTAAATAATCCAATCTGTTACAGAGTTCACACATTTAACAAATAGCACTAATATATACAAATCACTCTATTATAAATATGAAGAATATTATAGAGTGGCCACATAATAGCTAGTTCAGTTTTTTGTTAAAGCAACATTTTCTTACATCTAACCAGCTTCCTTCTCTCTTCAGCCAAAGTGTAACGCCCTCTTCTATGGTTGGTGGAACAAGCCAGAAACATTGTTCTTATCACCTGCTAATTTCACCCATTTACTTTCATAAAAGACCTGCAGACTAATATGTCGTATTCACATGGAATTATAAAGTTACCAAAGTTCGTGCTTCTTCTCCCAGACATTGAAGTGGAATTGCAAAATTGCTTTTTTAACAAACCCACGGTGTGTGAGAAAAACAGAGCTACATATCTGATAATTATGCTACCTGAATTATAAAAGCTGTTATTAAGGTTTTTTGTTAATAACCTCTGACATTAACCATTTTTATGTCTTACAGAATGAACTTTGGATGTGCATCAATTCTACACTTCCAGGTAAGCAGGTGAAACCACGACACCCTGATGCTGATCTGCTGTTGTATTTAACCACCAACCAAAATACAATCTGTCTGCAAACTGTTGGTGCAGCACATGTCACATTCAGTGGAGGGACTCAAGCGCAGAGCAGAGTCCAATACAAGGAATGACATTTATTTACACAATCACCAAGTGCAGATACAGTGGGGCAATTGCAGGGTTCCAAGGGTCCAAGGGAAAAATCCGGGAAGGGAATCTCATTCACACTTGCTCTCCGTAGATGACGGGTCCAGGAAAACTATACACGGGGAAACGCTGGTTACTCAGAGGCAAAAACACACAGGAGATTCACAGAGCTAGAGATTCACTAACGTGTCTCGCACAATCATCCAGCAATGAGACCGTCTGTGTCCCGGCCTTAAATGTCCAACACATAATTGCAGCCTGATAAAGAGAAGGTATGTGAGCCAAGGGCGGGAGCCCGCAATGAGCTCCGCCCTGGCGGGGAGGTGAGAGGAGAAAGTAAACAGAAGCACACGTGGCCTTGTGGAGCCGGCCGGGCAGACACGGGGACAGCACATGTAAATGTACAGTACATACTGTTTATAGAGGAACATTGATGAGAGATGATAACAGTGTCAGGTTGTGTACGTCATGTTCTTAACAGCATGGCTGTGTAGCAGTCGGCAGTTTAGCACCAACTGAAAACATTTGGTTGTTGTGGAATCACAGGTGTCTAAAATGTCCCTCTGGGTGTTTTCTGATGTGACACTGTTGAGGGCGGTGTCTACTTCGGGCTATGCAGCACAGTGGCGAGACCGCTGCTGCCTCACAGCGAGAGCGTGTTGGGTTTGAATCAGGCCGGGGTCTTTCTGTGTGGAGTTTGCATGCTCTCCCTGTGTTTGTGTGGGTTGTCTCTGGGTGACTTCCTCCCACAGTCCAAAGACATGCAGTTAGTGGGGTTAGAGTCACTGGTGGTTCTAAATGCCCATAGGTGTGAATGTGAGTGTGAATGGTTGTCTGTCTCTGGGTGCTAGCCCTGCGTCAGGCTGGAGACGTGTCCTCCACCCTGCCTCTTGCTCTATGTTAGCTGGGACAGGCTTCAGCTCACTGATGACCCTGACAAACATCAGCAGAAGAGGATGGATGGATGAAGGAATCAAAAAAACCTTCCTCCAGTCCTCTCAGAGTGAGACATCGTCCATCATTGATGTTCACTGATTTCCAGCAACATTCATGGATTTACTCTTAAGCTGGTCCTGCAGGTGTGTCCGTACACGTGCACGATGGTGGCTGGACAGATGGGGGAGAGGACTTTCCACCCACCCCGGACACGTGGAGATAGTGAAGTTCACTCTGCAAAGATCAGAATATACAGCATGAGAAGCACAGACAGTGACTACAGTGAACACCTTTGTTTTCAGACATGTGACAGCAGAGCTTACTGCAGGCAGTGAACTCGCTCGCTCTGCTTCACCATAAAACCACCTCCATGGTGTTATCGCTGCTCTCGTTTGAATATGAAAATCTCAGAATAAGTAAATGTGAATCTGTTTTCATAATTCACAGTAACAGTAAATAAATCAGTGTCACAAAGTGTGATAGTTAATAGCCATAGAAAGAAATCCACGTGGCAAAGAGCTGATTCTCTGGTGTATGATTTGCTTGCAGGAGTATCGAGGAAATCAGAAGGCTGGGTGGGGCTGGGCTGCTGTGAACTGGCCATCACGACAGAGTGTCGCAAGGAATGCAAACAGGTGAGATGCTGTGAGTCCATCCTGGGGTGTGAGCTGCTGTCCCCAACACTGATCTGATTTCTTTTCCCCATGTAGGCATCTTCAAAAAATGATATAACAAAAGTATGCAAGAAAACCACAGAGGTAAGTCCAACAGCTTCAGAGAGGTGAGATTATTTTGCAGTGGCACACTGTCAGACAGATGAAGTTCTTAGCTCTGTGTTTCTGTGTCGCTCACAGATGGATTGTTGCTGTTATGCTTACATCGCTTATTGAAGCTAGCTGTCAGACTGTAAATGTCCTCGTGCTTGTTTCTGTCTCTTCCTCCTTCGACTGCTCCCTTTACAGATTTACAAGAGTATCAATGTGTCGATGAAAATGTGCACGCTTACATGGAAGTTACTAATGTTTCCACACTGTTGTTATTATTATTATTATTATTATTCCTTCAAGTGTTTTCTTGTTCAGAATCACAGTTTCCTCACGTCTGTTCCAATGTTTGAATGAAATGTAATCAATCACTAAAGCACAAATATAGGTTTTTTTTAGTCAAGGGTCAAAGGTCATTCAGTGGTTCAGAGACTTGAATCCAGTAACATGTTTCTGCTGCAGTAGTGTGGTCTCTGTGAACAGAGTCACCACAGCTTCTTGTTCTCATTCTAGAACTCGCTCTACAGCTGCATCACCAAAAATGAAAGTAAGTCTTACTCATTCACTCACTTCCTGCCACGTTTAGTGTTTTTGTCTCCATCCTTGGTTTGTCATACGTACTATAAATAAACAAATAGCAGAGCTTTGTAATTTGACTACCTCATAACTTCTTGTTTAGAGGATATATCAGTATTATTATTATTATTATTATTATTATTGTTATTATTATTATTATTATTATTATTATTGTTATTATTATTGTTATTATTGTTATTATTATTATTATTGTTATTGTTATTATTATTATTGTTGTTGTTATTATTATTATTGTTATTATTATTATTATTGTTATTATTATTATTATTATTGTTATTGTTATTATTGTTATTATTATTATTATTATTGTTTCTGTTGTTGTTGTTGTTGTTATTGTTATATCTGTTTGTTGTGATTCTTTACAGAATAGTTTGAGTGGTATTCATTTTTTGCTGTACAGTGCCAGTTTTATTCTTAGTTTTATTTGTCACACTTGCATTTTTCACAGGGTTAAACAAATGTTAATATTAGACAAAGATAATCCAAGTTAATGCAAAACACTCATTAAACAATGGTCTATTGTGAAAACAAACCTTCCTTTCACCGTTAAAGAGTGGCTGCTCCTTGAACCTAATGAGGAGAAATGCAATCGAGCGTTTGTAATAACCAGCAGTGAGTCGTTCATGTTGCTCTGAAGGCTGCTTTTCTTTGCGGAATTGTTTTCATTCAGTCACAGTGGAGGATTTCCAAGATCATGCCACAGTGTGTCAATACACAGCAAAAACTCCAGTGTTAAATTAATACTAGAGAGTGTCTGTATGTGTCCAATCCTCTGAGTGTTAAATATAAGTGCTGATTTTCTAACACTGGAAAATAACTCAAAATGTTAGAAATATTCCAGTGTTAGAAAATCAGCACTGCTCAGTGTTAGCCATTGTTAATCTTCAAAACTGACTAGGTTACTTTTAAACATATAACACTGTCAAAAGTGTTAATTTAACACTCAGAGGTGTGGACCCATATAGACACTCTCCAGTGTTAATTTAACACTGGAGATTTTGCTGTGTAGCTTATAGTTTCATATATATTACAATGTTTGTTTGTTTTTGCTTATTTGTTTGTTTGTTTGTTTGTTTGTTTGTTTGTTTGTTTGTTTGTTTGTTTGGTTGTTTGGTTGGTTGGTTGTGGTTGGTGGTTGGTTGGTTGGTGGTTGGTTGGTTGGTTGGTTGGTTGGTTGGTTTGGTTGGTTGGTTGGTGGTTGGTTGGTTGGTTGGTTGGTTGGTGTTGGTTGGTTGGTTTTGGTTGTTTCGTTGGTTGGTTGGTTGGTAGGTTGGTTGGTTGGTTGGTTGGTTGGTTGGTTGGCTGGTTGGTTGGTTGGTTGGTAGGTTGGTTGGTTGGTGGACCATGCTGCATAACCTGAGGGTGCTTGAGCTTCAGGTGTGGGTTCAGGGTATATGGTTCCATCAAAGCAGAGCCCCAGACCATTACACTCCCACCATGTTTGTCTGTTGGTGCTTTGCGTTTATGAAATGCTGTGTTAGTTTCATGCCGATGGATCGGGACTTTACAACACACAGAAGATTTTATCAAAGGTTTTGGGGATCGTCACAATGTTTTTTGTCAAATGTGAGATGAGCCTGTGTGGACTTTTTGGTAAGCAGGGGCTTTTTCCTTGGAACTCCTTGATGCCAGTTTTGCCCCGCGCCTTCCTTAATGCTGAATAATGAACTCTGACCTGAGGCGAGTAAGATCTGCATTTCTTGTTTCTCTCTGTGCTTCTGTGCTCTTGGATGAATTGTCCTGGATGGAGTCCTCACTGTTCCAGTTTATCTGTGAATCTGAGACAGTGTGACAAATAACAAAGAAAGCACCATCACAATGATAAACTCTTCCTTTCTTTGGAAGTCATGGAATTGTTTCCCCGACTGTAACCAACTGGGATTTTGGCAGAGCTTGAAAACCTCAGGCCCACTTGGCACAGTCACTGCATACTTTGATACTCCTAACCTCAGCCAGCTGTTCTTACTGTTTAACCTGTGTGTGCATGTGTGTGTGTCCCTGCAGTGGGCTCTACATGCTGCAGCTATGCAGGTCGTCACACCACCTGCAGAGAGTACTGCCAGGCCATCTTCAGGACCGACTCGACCCCCACCGTGTCCCAGATCAGCGCTGTCAAAGACTACTGTCAGACTCATAGTGCTCAGCTGATTCACTGTGTCAACAACTTCACAAAGTCCTACCCCATACACAGCCCTGTGGACAGTAAGTCCATCTGCTTCACACACAACAAAAGGAAGTGCAGCTCAGTGTCCGCTATGAAGAGAGTAAAGTGCTGGATTAGAAACAAACACCATGAGACTCTGCAGATGTCATATGGTGCATATAAAACGATCACTAAGACAGAAAGTTGAGTACAGCTCATCCATGTTTACCACTGACTGAGCTACCATTCACTCCACATCTCCACAGGTAATACAGAAACATTTGTTTTTAATAATGTCCAAGGGTAAAAGCAGTTATGAATTCATGCTGAAGAGTCGGCAAGTTGGCAAAAATGATCTTCATCCATAACTTTAAAAACTCAGATGAAAGGTTTTTTTTCCCCTCCTGTCCCGTTTGGCTCTTTGCCATCAGAATTATTGTCTAAAGGCAAAGATGCCCAACGGATTTACCTTACCAAATGGACCATCCCGGCCTTGCCGTATTGGTCTATTTGATTCACCTTTTATTGTTTACTTTATTTTATTTTCACTTTCTACGCACGGGACAGACATGACTGGGGGAAAGAAAGAGGGAAAGTAAAACAGAGGGATGGGGATAAAGGGCAAAAAACAAAAACAAACAAAACAAACCGACAAAAAATACATCTATGAATCACCTGGATCACCTGTTGAGAAAGAAAAAAGAGAAAACAAGCAAAAAAAGACAGCAATATAATAAACGACATCATCGCGATGATCTATGTGAAGATAACAGTAAATACTAAATATTGAATATTATTGTGCAGCACGTAAGATCGACAGTGCACAGTGTGCTTTGCATATGCAATTACTCAGCACTCACCCAACGTGGAGACAGTTATATAGACACTGTACACACAATCACACTCCCCAAGCGTACTCTATATCCCAGGTCTACGCACCCTTGCTTGAAGGTTTGTTGAATAAACCTTTTTTTGCACCACGTGACCGTCCTGAACACCGAGCACATGGATGTGTTTACCCCACGGAGCCCTGCTGTGCAGCTCAGTGCTGCAGCCAGGCCTGGTGCAGACGGGATCCCCACGACTGGTTCTTGTCTTTGGTTCTGTTGTTCTGTCACTAGTTAGTTAACATGAGTGTATTAACCAACGCACTGTGGGACGTCTGCACTAAACATCTTCCATAAACCGAGCCTCACACACAGAGTGACATCCTGCACATTTGACTATAAATGTTTAGTGTTTCACTTCATTAAACAGACATACAAATATCTGTGGAGACTCTGTGTGTGCGGTTTCGTGACTGATGTAGTGAGCGTGGGAATTTCAGTGGGTGATGTATAAACTCAGTAACGTTGTCTCACATGCAGGTCTGTACTGCTGCGACAGGGCAGCTACCCACTGCCAGATGGCTTGCCGACAAATCCTTCGCACTATGAGCACAGAGCATGAGATTATGGAGGGTTTGATCAAAGAGTGCGGCTCCCAGCCGCTCCCTCAGGAGCCTATGTGGCAGTGCTTTCTGAGCAGTGTCCAGACTCCTTCCATAACTGAAGAGGATAACCTTCCTGCCAAGATGGACTGTGCCAAGCTGCACTGCTGCTCCAAAGCCAACACCTCACTCTGCAGGTATGCCACTTTTAGTTCTTGACATCAGTGAAAGACGGTGTTTGGGTGTCATTTACAGCGAGCAGAGGTGAACTACAGGTTGATTATAAATGTGTTACGCTCCAGGGACATGTGTCTGGAGATCAGCTCTAACTGGGGCAGCCAGACATGGCAAGACTTTGACCAGCTCTGTGAGTACAACCCAGTGGAAACAGAGCTCATCAACTGCCTGGCTGACGTCAGAGAGCCCTGCCAGCTGGGCTGCAAGGACCTCACTTACTGCACCAACTTCAATAACAGGTCAGTCTTCTACTGCTCACCCACTTTAAAATGGCTGTGTTATGGTCACTGCATGTCAGTGACACGTTATCTACATATGTAGGAAGTTCCTCACAGGAGCCTGAATTTGTACTGTGCCAACACAAGCTATGATTTTGTGCCATAGACAAAATCAAAGTGAGGAAATAAAATCTTATTTGGCATGATGTTCTTAGGTGCAGGTGAATAATTCGTACTCTTCGCCTTAGTATCGTTATTAAACTTTTAATGCATATCTGATTTTGTACTGTTCCCACTGACCACTTCTCAGAATCACCTGTGTCTGTTCAGGTGTGACATTGTAGATAAACATGTGGATCCCCAGATCTGAAGCTTGCACACCATCAACATTAACCTCCTAAGACCCAAACTCTTTCATTTCATGCATTTTTATTTTCTCTTTGCTATTTGGGCTGATTGGGACATGATGAATGAGGGCGACCGTGGCTCAGGGGGTTGGGAAGCGTATCTGTAACCGGAAGGTCGCCGGTTCGATCCCCGGGCTCTCTGTCCTGGTCGTTGTGT